ATATATCCTATTATAACAAGTGGTATGTGTGACGGTTCGTATACTCTTGACAAGAACGAGTTTGATGAAGCTGAAAATGGCAAATGGACAGAAACAGATGATATTCCGTTGCCTAATTCCGATGTAGACCCCGAAACGTTAGCTAATCAACCATTAAACCCTTATGCTCTTGCCGAAAGATTTTTTAATAGATATCTTTTAACAGCTCAAGAAATGATTGATTTAAAGACAGCTTTAGACGGTGAAACTTTACAGGAAATAAACGCAATTCAATATGTTGTTAACTTATGTATAGTTCCTGATGGTCTAGATGACTACTATGATACTTCTCCTACAACTGAAATTTATTTTGGTAGAACCGCTGTAAATTTACCTGCTAAAAAAGTTTTAGGTGCTACAAGTATTATTGATTTTGGTAGTACAAATGTTTCAAGGAAATATAATAACTTCTTAGATTATGAACCTTATACTAAAGTTTCAGTATACATACCGTTTTGTGGGAAAGTTAATTTACCTACTGATAAAGTTATGGGAAAAACAATAAATGTTCAAGTAGCATTTGATTATTTAGATGGAAACTGTACAGCTTATGTTTATGTGGGTGACAGTTTAATAACAACAGCTACAGGTAACTTTTATTGTAGTGTTCCTTTAAGTCAAGATGCTTCTATGAGTAAAGATATTGAATTTATGTTTAGTGCAATTAACTGGATTGGACAGAGTGTTGGTTCTGTAGGTATCGGATTAGCCACTCAAAACCCTGCTATAGCAATAGGTGGTGCTATTTCATCTGCAGCTAATTTCGGAAATAGTCTTCACGATATTACCGCTAAAAGTGATACCAATATAGTACAGGGTTCTGGAAATCTTAATACTTTCAATGCTCCTATGGAGTGTTGTTTATATTATGAAAGACCTGATGTTGAAATACCGGAGCTTTTTGGAGAAATAAATGGATTTGCTTGTCATGTAAGTGGACAGTTAAAAGAATTTCATGGGTTTACTGCTTGTTCAGATTTCCATTTAGATGGAATAGTTTGCACAAAGATTGAAAAAGAAATGCTTGATGAATTACTTAGGAAAGGAGTAATACTGGATTAGTCCAGTTAACTGGAATATGACAACGAAAACAGAAAAGTCAACTAAAACAGAAAAGACAGTAAAAGGAACTAAAACAACGAAGAAAAAAGAAATTAAGTTAAACGACTATTATTCTGCCGATAAGATATTAGAAGAGGGTAGCACTTACAATGTTATTATTGGACAGAGAAGTAATGGTAAAACTTTCGATTGTATAAGTAGAGCGTTGGATTGGTTCTTAAAGTCAGAGAATGAAGACGAAGCTAGTGTTTACATCAGAAGATACGATGAATCTATTACAAGTGCAAATATATTCAAACTGTGTTCTGCACATATTAATGACTTAGTTATATCAAGTGATAATAAATACAATAACTTTGAATATAAGAATAAAACGTTTTATTGTACGTGGGTTGACCCTGATAACGGAAAAGTTGTAAGACGTAGTAAACCATTCTTGTATTGTGTTGGTCTTAATTCATGGGAACATAAAAAAGGTCAGGATAGAGGATTTGTTAAGTATATTATATTTGACGAATTTTTAACAAGAGATACTTACCTTAATGACGAATATGCTAAATTCATGAACTTGCTTTCTAGCTTTATACGAGATAGAGTTGGTACTATTATATTCATGTTAGGAAATACAGTTAATAAGTTCTGTCCTTATTTTAACAAGTTTAATATTGACATGAAGAATATTAAGCAAGGTGTTATTTATAACTACAGGTATGGAGAAACTACCCTGTCACTTGAATATTGTAGAGAATACGGGAATACAAGTAAAGTTAACAAAGCTTACTTTGATTTCCCTGAAAAGACACTTGATATGATTAAAAAAGGTTATTGGGAAATTAACAGTTACCCTCATTTATATAATCATAAGAGAGATGAATGTACAGAGGTAGGTAGAATTTATATTCACTTTAGTAACCATGTTTTAAGGTGGGAGTTGTTACGTGATTTTAATAATAATATTATTAGTTTCATATCTCCTAGTAACTTTGATGTTGCTCTTGAAAGTAAAAAGATTTTTGTAACACAGGATAGTTTAACATTAATGGATAATAGGTGGTGTTATGGAGAAATCCCTCATAACAAGTTAACACAGTTTCTTGTTCAGACATGGGATAATGGAAAGATGTTTTATGCGAATGACGATACAGGTGATATATTTGAAAACTTCATGAAAATGTGTGTACAGCAAAATTCGTTCAGAAGATTTTAAGGTAATAGATAAAAGAAAAGAAAAGAAAAAAGAAAAGAGTCCAGTTAAATGGACTCTTTTTGTTTTATATAATTAGCTAATTGTATAAATATTATTTTTCAAACTTTTTCTGACCGCCGAAGTAGCGATATATGTCTACATCTCCTAAGTCTACTTTCCCTAACAGGAACTCGTAGAATGTGTCTGATAAATTCATTGAGAAGTCTGCTGATGTAAGGCATACTCCTGAACGCATATCTACTATTGCGAGATTCCCTAGGTAGTCTGGAATGAACTTTTCTGTTTCTTCTTCCACGTATGTGTGAGTGAGCTTACAGTTTTCCATTTTAAAACCATTTGTGAAGTTTTCAAAACGTTCATCATTTGTTTCTCCGAGAGCTTTCCATAGTGTTTTTGGTGCTCCTGCTACTGTTGAGGACATTTTGCCGTCATAGTATTCTACAAGGTAACGTTTTGAACCAAGTGACTTGAAACGTTTGTATGGTTTCTCGTCCTCGAAGATACCCATGAAGTGTTCTACTCCGTGCTTGTCGATAAAAGTCCAGTCAACTGGAGGAATTTTGTGATAATTCATAGCATCTATGAACTCTCTACGACACTGGCAATTGAGTTTATACCAAAGACGGTCATACTTCTTCTTGGATTTACGTGACTTATGCTTAACACTGTCTGTGTCGCAATAGATAGCATTTTCAGACATTTTCTTGATAGGTGTGAGTATTTGTCTACGAGCATAAGATGTTACCCATACACCTATAGAATACCAGAGGTATTGGTTAGGGTTTCCTGTGTATTCTTTGAAGTCAGCCCATGATTTTTCACCTTTTATGAATTTATAGTTGCTTTCTTCATCGAAGTAAGTACCGGAATCGAGAATGTTAAATACTGCTGAACCATAAACCCCGTTTATTCTCTGCTTGGAACGCATATAGTTTTCTACTTCTTCTTCAATATCTTTTAACTCTGTTTTCGCTTTAAAGAGTTTAAGAATAATCTGTACGAGTTCCTTAGGAAGATATTCTTTCTTTGAAACGTAGACGTTTTCGATTATTACATCAGAGAAGTCGTAAAAGTCGAGGATATTGAGTAAGTCGATTTCATTTACAGCCATTTTAAGAATTGAAGCAGATACTACACGTCCGTTATCTTCTATGTAGTCATCAGTAATCTTTATGCACTTGTGATGTGAGATTATGCTGTGACAGTGTTTGCTACGGATATTAAGGAAAGTTGCTTCACAACAGATAGCATAGTCCAGTTGACTGTACTTTTCTAAAATCTGTTCAAGTAAAAGTTCTTCTTTTAACTTGTACCAGATTGTTGGATACTTCTTACTTACCATTTGGAATGGGTAAGATGAACCGATATCTTTACAAAGTAAATCTTCAAGTATAGAGTTTATTGCCTGATAGTTGCAATGTGTGTATGCTCCTGCATATGTCTGAATGAAGAGATTTTGAAGTTCCATTGAATGAGCTGAATAGAGAGTTACCAGAGAGTGCATTTTACGTAACCCCTCTGCACCGAGTTCCTTACGGAATAACGCTCTTACTTCTCCAGTAGAAGTCATAGGGATATTTTCCAATCTACCGTACTCTTTTACTTTCTTCTCGATGTAGTAGTACACGATTTCTGTATCATTCCACTGGTACTGCATTTCCTCTTTAGAGATTGGAGTGTTCTGATGACGAATAAGGGAGTAATCGAGATTACCTACCAGTTTCTTTACTGGGAGTTTTTCGTTCTCTGCAAGACGTTCGAGCTTGCAGTTGGAGAGAGCGAGCGTATCTCTGAACTCAATGTTCTTGTATACACACTTGAGTACGTTGTGTGCTTTTCTACAGAATACATCTGTGAGTTTCATGAAACCTTTCATGAACTGGAACTCGAATGAGAGGTTGTGAACCCAGATGATGTAGCGTTCATTTTTGTCCAGTTGACTGGAAAGTGAATCGAGATACTTGATTGCATCTTCCCATGTGCGATAAGTGAAGTGTACACCCTCGTAGCAGAAGTCGCACAGATACATGAATGCGTGCTTTCTGTCAACTTCCTGTGTTACTGAACCGTCACGATGCTTTACGTTCTTGTATTCAACCATAGATGTTGTTTCTATGTCGAAAGTTATAATAGACTGGCGGTATTTGACTTTTGCGTTTAGTCTTCGTGTGTTAGCTTTCATTACTTTCTTCCTTTCTTCCTACCTCTGTTGCTGTTACCCCTACTGCCTGAATTTCCTCTTCTCCAGTTGTCAAGTGCTTTACCGGATTTGTAGTTCTTAGGAAGTCCTCTAATATACTCGTTGATTGTTTCGAGGTGGTTTGCTTCAAAGTTTCGGAGTGTTTTCGAGTCCAGTTGACTGGACATTTTATTGTAAGCACGAATGAGGTATTCTGCCTGCTTGTCGGATAACTGCTTATCTGCAACTTCCTGTAACATCTTATCCATGAGTTTAGTTGTGCTTATATTTTTGTTTCCGTCTTTAGTTTCATACATATCTTCGGAATAGAACATTTCCTGAATTGTGTTGTATGTGAGGATTGCAAACATTTCATGGAACTCACTGGAGAGAGAGGATAATGATGTAAAGGTTGTGTCAAAGTCGGTACCCATTTCGCTGTATACCCCCTTAAGACGTTCATACTCTTTACGTACCGCACGTGCGTCAATAGCACGTACATCTGTGATGATGTTGTATAATACACGTACATCAGCGGCAGATGTGAGGGAGTTTTTGAAACTCTTACCGTAATGGTAGTTTTCATCTGAAAGACCCATTTTACGATACAGCATACGTAATTGGGATTTGGCGTTTTGAGCCACAGGGGAAGCTTTGTATAACCCCGATTTCTCCATACGCTTGAGCTTTGCTACCGTGGTAGGTAGGTTCTTCTCAATGTAGGATTTCATGGCTTTAAAGCTAGGTGCCTTTTTTCTTGATGAGGTTTTTGAAACACCTCTCAAGTTCGGATTGACTTGGAACTCTTTAAACTCTTTTTTGAGTTTAGATTTCTTTTTAGGCATTGGTTACAACTCCTTTCGAGAATGATGTAGTTACTTTTCCAGTTGACTGGACTAATTTGAAATCAGACAGGACATTTTTCCCTACCCCTACTACCTCACCTGTCAAAAGGTAGAGAAGTATTCCGTTATCTGCTGTTTCAACGTACCACACTTCCGGTATATCTTCTACGGAAGTGTCTTTAAAAACTAGGTGGGCTGTCATTATATACCCTACTCCTTTCGTGTAAGATGTAGTTAACCTTTCCAGTTAACTGGACTATGACCGAGATGTTTTCGGGCGTATTCCAGTTGACTGGACTGAACATATGAACATTTGTTCATATGAGCATATAAGCATTTATGTAAACGATTACATGAAAATGGAAAAATAAAGCAAAATATGGTAAAATATGGTAGCGAAAATGTAATCGATTACATGAAAAAATGGTAAAAAGCCCCTAAAAAGGGGCTTTGTGGGTGTTACCATATTTTGTCAATATCTGACTCAATTTGGTTGACAAATATTTCTATATTGTGGTAAAATTTTTCAGCGTACCTTGTTTCTAAAATATAGGGATTTATTTCCTTATAATGACTTTCTTGTGCTTTTTGGAAATCATAGACATATTGTGCTAAAATTATGTCAATAATCTTAATGTTGTCAAATATGGTAGTATTTACCAAATATTTGAATTGTAAATCCGGATTTTCTAAACTTTGGTATAATTCATACATTTTTCTGATAATGTCATAATATGCCATAAATTTGGGATTTTTAGAAACTTTCTGCTTATTCCAAAAATTAGAAAAAAATAACATTTTGCGGTTTACATATTTTGCCATACTAAAAACTCCTTATTTCCAAATTTTTCCAGTTGACTGGAATGTGCTTTTATTGTTTGCTGTCTTTATGGTTTATTGTTTATGGTTTTTGGTTACTGGTTATTATTCGTTAGTACTGCCTGTCTGGCATTTAATTACAGCTTTTTTGATAACTGCCTTGTAAGTTTCATTTTCAATTCCCTTTACAATATCAAGTATAGCGTTTAAACGGTCTATGTCGCTTGTAAGCGTATATGTAACCTTGTTATCATCACTTGATGTATCGGCTGTTGTATCGCTTGTATCGGCTGTTGTATCGCTTGTATCGGCTGTTGTTTCAATTGCTCGAATTGATTTACAAGCTTTAATAAATTCCTTATCAGACATTGTACTATCAATTGTTTCACTGTCTATCAGCATTTTAATTTCAGTATCGTTATACTTTGATAATTCTGCAAGCTTTGAAATATTAAAGCGGAAATTATCGCTGTCGGATAATACTGATATTGTAAGGCTTGTAAGGTCATCATTTTCAAAAGGGTTATATTCTTCAATATTACCGTTTCCGTTTAAATCTACATTCATAACACCAATAGAAATAAATCTTGAAGCATTGCAGTAGTTGTAGCACTGTGATTTCTTTATACCAAACATTTCGCTTGCATACTGCTCAACATTTTTGTAGCTTGTACCATTGAGAACGTCTTTATTTTCCTTTACATAAGCAAGATTTACAGCTGTAATATAAGCCATGTTTTCACCTATTTCGTAGGCACTAGCAATATTCTTTGAAATAGCATCAAGATTATTGTTTCCAGTGTTGATATTATAGCGTTCACTATTTGGTGCAATTGATAAAACTACATTGTTTCCATTGTTTGTGTTCTTTACTGATAATTCGTTCATGATTAAAATCCTCTCTTAATTGAATTAAGACAGCAAACCATAAAAGCACATTCCACATATTAAATTGTCAAGATACTATTCTATAGATGTTTATTGTCATCACTGACGATATACAATTGCCATGTGTGTATCACTCCCGTGCGTGTATTAGATGTTTAATGTCATCTCTGACAATCACATAATAACATTAGAGATTTTTTAAGTCAAGTTTATTACAAAAATTGTAACTTTTAAAATGGATATTGTAACTGTTTTGTTACAACAAACTTTTTTGTTGTAACTGTTTTGTTACAATTATATTTTTGTTTGTAACTAAATTGTAATAATAAAGTTAGATTGTAATATTTACTGGAAATTATTTTCCAATGGTAAAAAATAACTTGACTGAATATTTTACATTTAAGCATATTTAATTTATCTTAAACGTTTTAGTATA